CCCCGCTTCGGGGTGCGGACGGACCAGGAGGGGCTGCTGGCCAAGGTGGGCCCCAGCGTGGGTGATCCAGCCGGTTGTGGGGTCCTCGGTGCTGGCCCCGCATGGACCTCTGTCCCTCTGGTCCCCAGGAGCTGGAGGACACCAACAAGTGGGGGCTCAATGTGTTTAAAGTCGCCGAATACTCAGGCAACCGCCCGCTGACGGTCATCATGTACAGCATCTTCCAGGTGAGCATCCCAACGGGATGTCCCCGTCCCCACGCCCGGATGGGGACGAGCCACCTCCCGCCTCCCTGCAGGAGCGTGACCTGATGAAGACTTTCCGCATCCCCGTCAACACCTTCATCACCTACATGCTGACGCTGGAGGACCACTACCACGCCGACGTGGCCTACCACAACAACATCCACGCTGCCGACGTGGCTCAGTCCACCCATGTCCTCCTCTCCACGCCCGCGCTGGAGGTGAGCCCTGGTCACCCAAGGCCACCAAGGCCACCAAGTGTGTCTGTCGTGGCCATAACACGTCTGCAATGCCTTTTTCCACCATTCCTAGGCTGTCTTCACGGACCTGGAGATCATGGCTGCCATCTTTGCCAGCGCCATCCATGATGTTGACCACCCCGGTGTCTCCAACCAGTTCCTCATCAACACCAGTGAGCCAGGGTGCAGGGATGGGGCTGGGGGGGGGGTAATGTGGGGGATCCCGGTGTCCAGGAGCCACCCCGGGGTGACCGGTGCCGTCTCACAGACTCAGAGCTGGCACTGATGTACAACGACGCCTCGGTGCTGGAGAACCACCACCTGGCTGTGGGCTTCAAGCTTCTCCAGGAGGAAAATTGCGACATCTTCCAAAACCTGAGCAAGAAGCAGAGGCAGTCACTCCGCAAAATGGCCATCGACATGGTACGGGGGGCCCTGGACCACCCCAGGGTGGGGAATCCAGGCTGTGGGGGCTTTGTGGTGGGGTCAGGCTGACCCCCATTCCCGGCTTCCCCTGCCCAGGTGCTGGCCACAGACATGTCCAAGCACATGAATCTGCTGGCGGATTTAAAAACCATGGTGGAGACCAAGAAGGTGACCAGCCTGGGCGTGCTGCTGCTGGACAACTACTCCGACCGGATCCAGGTGGGCACGGGGATGCAGGTGGGGAAATCTTCCTGGCATTGCAGGTGTTGGTTCTGGCTCGGTCCAGGGCTGCCGGGATGTCCTGTTTGGTGCCACCACCCCTCCCAACCCCAGTTGGCCATGGCCAAGGCGGTTCCTGGCACAGGGATGGTGGCCCTGGGGGACAAAGGACTTCGGGTAAGCGATGCCGTGGTTGCGTCCGCAGGTCCTGCAGAACATGGTGCACTGTGCCGACCTCAGCAACCCCACGAAGCCACTGGAGCTCTACCGGCAATGGACCGACCGCATCATGGTGGAGTTCTTCCACCAAGGTGACCGGGAGCGGGAGAAGGGGATGGAGATCAGCCCGATGTGTGACAAGCACACCGCCTCCGTGGAGAAGTCCCAGGTGGGGCAGTGGCGCGGGGATGGGGTGGGGGCCACAGGGCCAGGCTGGGGGCTCAGCTCTGCCTTCCCCCAGGTGGGCTTCATCGACTTCATTGCCCACCCGCTGTGGGAGACGTGGGCCGACCTGGTGCACCCCGATGCCCAAGAGATCCTGGACACGCTGGAGGACAACCGGGAATGGTACCAAAGCATGATCCCGCGCAGCCCGTCTCCACCGCCTGAGGGACCTG